GCCTCCCCATCTCTCCTGTAGCCCCCTTTAAGCACTGGAAGGCTGCTCTAAGGTCTCCCCAGAGCCTTCTCTTCTCCAGGCTGAGCAACCCCACCTCTCTCAGCCTGTCCTCATATGGGAGGTGAATGAAAGGCTTATGGTAGTACTGCAATAAACAGTAGTTACTAGTGATTTGCTGACTCTCATCTGAACTTGGGAAAATAATTTTTGTTCAAGATTTGAAACTGTAAAAGTCGTAATGTGTGGTAAAACTTAGTGATTCTATAGTGTCATCACTTCTTAAGGTCATGCTTCTCCCTCTCCATTTGGAGGACTGATTTGTACCTGTTCTAGGGTTTCATTGTTACAGACAACTGTATCCTAGAAATGCCTAGTTGGACACACATGCAGTCGGGACTCATCTCTCTGTTTTGAGATCCTCTTTTATCTGTGAAAGGAGAGGTTACAGTTCAAGGAATTTGGGATTTTTATTCTTGGTGCTTCCAACAGGAATGGGCTTCCAAAAACCATCTTGGACTTCAAAGAGTTCAGTGTGCAGCTGTGGTTTGTTGGACTTTTCATTTTTTGTGGAGGAAGGTCACTAGCAGTAGAAGGTTATAAATATATGAAGAAAAAAAATGAAGCATTTGTGTATGTGTGCGCATGTGGATATCTATGCACATGTACACATATAAACTTGATTTTTGTACTCACATATACAGATGCTCTGTCTGTGACTGCAAGTCTGTCAGAAGAAAATCTATCCATATATATGGCTTTAACACATTTCTCTTTGAGAAACTGAAATTCTGAATAAATTGGAAATAATCATGCTCAGTGGTTAACACGAAGATTCACCTTTGCAGGCGACATTTTTCTTTGATAAGCAAGAAAATCTTTGCTGCTAGAGAGAGGTTACTCACAATTAGACTTAGTTGATAGTGCTGTTATTAAGATAAATGAAACTTGGAGCTGATTTACTTATGTAGTCCTCTGTTCTCGGTATGAGAAGGCAGTTCTGTAGCATGGCTTAACAAAACATAATTTCATAAATTCAATGGTATGCTAATTGACTCAGGGTTTTTTTCCATACTTAACTTGCGAAATTAAGTAACTGAGCTCTTTAGCAGCAGAATACTGTCTGAACAAGGAAGGACGAGCTTGTTTTTAGTCAGTGTGATAGTAGAATGGATGCATGCATTGCAGCTATCAGCCTGTAGTCCAGTATGAGTTAAAGATAACCTAGCATCTCTATTGAGGAGAGAAAGATGGATTAGAGACACAATTAGGACAGCAGTGACAAATGAAATCTCTACTCTATCCAGTACCTGGGAATAGATCTGTTTACAGTGTAGCAAACTTCCAAATGCTCTTTTTGGGAGTAAAACAAGACAGCTCACTTTGGATCTTTCCTCTTTTCCTGAGAATAAGTCTTTCTTCTGCTTTCACTTCAAAAGAAACAGGAAAAAAACAAGACATAAATATTTTTTGTTGATAATTTGTCCTTTGGAACAGATGTTTCTGTGAATTTTTTTTTCTTTCACCCTTCTGAGGGGTTTATTCATCCATTCTTTTGACTTTTAGGTCTGTTATTTAAGCAGAACATAGAGAATTATGATGCATTCCTTTACATTACTTCAGGCAGATTTGGCAGTAGGATTTGAATCTAGGGAGACAGTGTTTCCTAGAAAGAGTAGCACATTTTGATGGTTAACACCTATGAAACAAAGCAAATCTTTGCTAAAAAAAACAATGTGCATTTTTATGACATCCAGTAACAATGTGAATCCAACTCATCAATGAAATTAAATGGTAGTGGATCTAGCACTGATCTCTGCTGTTGTCCATCTAACTTGGCAGTGAGCCTTGGGATCTGCATTTTGCTTGTGCATGACTTAAAGAAGTTTGATTTAGATCAGGCCTTTTTGGCCTACAAGACACAGCTCACAAGGTCAGGTCTACACAAAGCAGATCAGGTAGAAAATTGCTGTCAACATTTCAGAAGCTACTTGGTCCAAATACTTAACTGGTTGAAATCTTGGGTTGAAAAAGTTGAATAATACTGTCCCAGACTGAATTTCTCTACTCTATGAATCATAATGATATATAAGACAGTGTTAAACCCCAGGAAAATTATATTCTAATGTGTTAAATTTCTGCTGGTTGTACTAGCTAATGCTTGTTGAGGAAAAATCTTGCGCATCTTTTAACATTTTCCTTTATGCCAATATTTGAGTCTTGCCCCATATTTACACAGTGTACTTGAATATGGTGGATAAAATGCTAGTTTGTAACAGCTCATTATTTTTTAAAAAATATTTGTGTTTCAAGATCAGGTATAACTGCCAATGTAATAGTATTGATTTCAATAAGTTTTAAAACTCTGATGTGGAACTGCTTTATGCTGTAGAGTAAAAACAACCAAGGAACTCTGTATATTTCATGTAATTACCACATAAGACCACAAGAACACAGACAATTTATATATGTAATTATTTACAGTAAAGGTTTAATATCTGCCTTTGCAAGCAACACTGTTCCTTCTCTTTTTCCAACCTAATCTTAAAAGCATTGTTTCTTACAGGCAGATATCTGGTCATTAGGCATAACGGCCATAGAACTTGCAAAAGGAGAGCCACCTCATTCAGAATTACATCCAATGAAGGTTTTGTTCCTCATTCCTAAGAACAATCCACCAACGCTGGAAGGAAACTTCAGTAAATCCCTCAAAGAATTTGTTGAGGCCTGCTTAAACAAGGACCCAAGCTTTGTGAGTTTCATCTGTTTGTCAGTGTATAGTAGAGAACTTGACTGGTTTACGTGGATTACATGAATTAGTGAAGTTCAGCTTTTCTCATATGGGGCAACATATTCACCAGCATATTTTTCTTTTTTTTTTTTTTTTGATACTGGATGTATTTAAAATTGCATTTGTATCAAGACTGAAGCTTGGATTTCTTAGTCTTTTTATAGTGAGTCACTTAGCACTCTCAAATGCAGTAATACTTTTTTTTTTTATTTAAGAGACCTACTGCAAAAGAGCTCCTAAAACACAAATTTATTTTACGAAACTCAAAGAAAACTTCCTACCTGACTGACCTTATTGATAGGCACAAGAGATGGAAGTCTGTACAAAGTCATGACAACTCCAGTTCTGATGACTCAGATACGTAAGTTTGATGAGTTTGTAAAATATCCTTTGTAAGTGTAGGAGCCTAGTAGTTATTTTTAGCACATATATGTCATCACTTCTTAAGGTCATGCCCATGGTCTCAAGGTCAACACATATTCATGAGTTCTGCTATTTCCAGCTTTTCAGCTTAGCAGCCTTGGTAAACTAATGCAATCTTGATTTCAGTGTTGCAAGAGATTTCATGCAAACAACAGTCACTGAGAACAATTCTTCTGGCCCGTTCTATGCTACCTTCTCTTTTATGTAGTGTCTAGGGTCCTTCCTAGACATAAGGCCAACTGTTACTCCTGTTGTGTGAGCAGAAGGTAGGCCTCACCCTGCGTGGCCAGGTAGCAGTGTGCACATGCACTGTTCTGTGTGTGCACATGGCCACCTAAGGAGGGGAGTTGTCTCCTTGGTGGCATGTTGTTCCTCATTTTGGCTATCTGAATAAACAGGCAGAAACATATCTTTGCATATAAAGAGAGGGTTAGTGGGCAATGGTTCCATGATAATGTGGTTTTGGGGTACAAACCATATTACCTAGTTTTTTTTTATAAGAGGTGGGGTTTTTTTTTCCTATCCTTCCAGGAAGGCTGGGTCATTACAGCATGATAGTCATGGAATGTCAAATTATTTATTGAAAAATGAGAAGTGTTGTAAATATTTTCAGATTTCTTTCCTTTACAGTTTTTATTTCTCTCCATCAAATTTTGATGGAGCTGTTCATAGGTTCATGAGTTGGTTTCCTTAGGAAACCAAATTACAAATATTTATGACTCAGTTAAAAATATGACTATTAATCTAAAAGGAATTTTGAAAATAATAGGTATCATCAGATTACATGCTTTTGAAAATCAAGTGAAGAGATTGCCACGATTTATTCACAAATGGATTAAATTCCTCAAAATAAAGAAAACGCAACTATTATTTGCGTTTCCAGTCTGTGTGCTAATGGCAAGCATCAGGCTGGTTATGATTTCTTAGCTGCCATTACAGCTGTATATTTGTCCTAAATTATTAATGGCTTCATGCCTTCCACTGAGCATGGTGCTGGCCCAAAACCAGGTCTGATTTGGAAGGCAAATTACTAGTCCTAAAACTTGTCTCAGGTCAGTTATTGACTGAACTTTGAGGTTACATTTCATTGTTCCTGTGAAATATCAGACCAGCTTTGAGAGCTTGGCACAGGAGAGTAATGGAGCTAGAGTGGTTACTGGGTGCTTATGAGACAATTTAATGTTATGTCTAAGCCTGCTTTCCCCTCCTCTGCTTCCACAGCAGCCATTGTATTAGATGTGATAAAAGGGTGATTTTATTTGGCATGCTGGAATACTAACTGTCGATAAATATTTTTCTGTTGGATCAGCTTGCTAGAGCTAATGTATACAAGGAAGGTAGACTTGCCTCTTTCTGTGACAGCCAGAAGTTCTATGGGACTTCAAGCAGAAATCCTGGAGAATTTTCTTACACTGGTCACATGCTTTTTTACTTGGAAAGCTGTGCTAAATACTTTTCTTACTATGGCTACTAGATGGCCTTTTAATTGGTGATTTTCTTGCAAATCACTCTTAATTCACAGATCAGAAAAAATTAATCTAGAGAAGGATATTTATGGTAGTTAGAGGAGAAATGTAACGCAGTGACTCATTATTGTAAGCATAAATATTTTTGTTCTTTTAACTTAGCAGAAGTTACAGAAAAAATTATTATGCCATCAATGAGGCAAAAGATTGACTTATGGTGATGTGGTTTGTTGAAGGCATGCTGTATCTGTACTTTTTTAACCAATTCCTTTGAAGTGGGAAATTTACTTTGCTAATGGGCTGGGGATGAACTCTCTTCCTCAAAGGTATTCTAAGCTAGTGTTTTAGCTGTTTTTCTAGGCAAAAAAGTGAATTAAGTCTTCTAACTTTTTCCCCTTTCCCTAATGATTTGAGGTACCTCTGCTAAGGTACTATTGCTTCAGATAGCAATAAACACTTCACGTTACTTGTTTATGTAACTGGGGAAAACGTTTTCAGTCTGTAATGCCTCTCTTTCTTTTTGTTGTTAATTTAACATTTAATGAAGTATCTTGGTTTCATTTTTTTAATTTCCCCAAAAGATAAATTACATTACTTTTCATACTTGTCTTTACACTTATTGGCTTGCACAATAGAATCCTGATTTTGGTGTTGACTGTAGTTTTTATGTTTAGCATGTATATTGATTGAACATGGACAATAATGTGTAGCTAATAAATATTTTTATTTTTTTCCTCTCCCTTGAAGTGAACCAGATGGGCAGGCTTCAGGTGGGAGTGATTCAGGAGAGTGGATCTTTACAATAAGAGAAAAAGACCCAAAGAATCTAGAGAATGGAGCAGCGCAGCCTTTGGAGTTGCAAAGAAATAAGGTGCTCAAAATGTTGACTGTATTATACAAGAAGATAATTCTTGCTTTAATAATTTAGTGGGTTGATTCTTATTTTATACTTTTAAAAGCACTTAAATTGTAAAACTTCAAGAACTTTTGCTAAAAATGTATATTCTACAGTTGCCTTTCACAAAACATTTTGAGGAAGTCTTGAAGTTTGGGTGTTCTGTAAATGTGTCCCTTTTCTGTAGCTTGTGAAATATGTACCAAAATATTTCTGTAGTTTGTGAAATATTACCACTGGAGGAAGACCAGGCAATATTTTATTTTTAAAATCTTCCTTCTGTAAAGTAAACTTAAACCAGTACAGTAGAAAGCTAGGCTGGGCTTTTGGGGAAGGCATTCTGTCTTTTAGGGAAAAAAAAGACTACAGTGTAGCAAAGAATAGAATGTGCATGTGTCCAAAAAAACCCAAACGTCAAAACCCTCAAAAAACAGAATAAGAGATGTTTAGGAGCTGCTCCATCATATTTTCTGCAACCTGTACGGCTGGGGAAAGCGGTTGCTATTCTGGCTCTGAAAATTCTATGTGTGTGCTGTTAGCAGAACTAGGGGAATATAAGAAAAAAAATATTGTATCATATGGGAGGTACCTAGTAAATAGCAGCATGTCTGTGATTTAGTACATGCGCAGTAGGATTGTGTTTTGGTTTTGTTTGGTGGTGTTTTTTTTTTTTTCATTTTGAGTTTTCATGTATTTGAGGTGCTGCTGCCTCAAATTTTAGTTCAGCCTCCATTTTCCACAGTGCTTTGGAATAGTCTGTTGTAGAACATCTTACATGTTTGTATATACATAGAAATAGATTTTTCATAAAGTGTAGCATGTTGGAACTATTTTTTCTTTAATTAGAAACAGAATACAAGGAGGATGCTTATTTTCAGAAATAAAATTAGTCAGAATTTTGTTTTCTTTAAAGGAAAAGGATATCCCAAAGAGGCCTCTATCCCAATGCCTGTCTACAGTTGTATCACCTTTATTTGCAGAGGTAAGTTATTGCTTTAAAGCTTAGTACTTCCAGGGTTCATGTCTCTGAAAAGCAGAAAAATATGATGAATGATACCTAAGGTTTCTACAACCCATTTGGAACTTGATCTCTTACAGTTTTAGCTGTACCCTTTGCTTTCATGCATGTCTGCTTTTGAGATCTTTGTTTTGCTTCTAACAATGCTTCATATCCATGGTAGCAACATCAACCATGCTAGCCTGAAGCAATGAACATTAAAACCAAAAAGGTATGTGAATGTTTGAATTACATCATTATGTTTTTTGACACTGCTTTATCTCTTTATCTGTCATTTTATCTGTTACAAATCATGTTCCAAGATATGGCTGTGGACCAGATCAACAAGAACTTAACTTTTGAATTTCAGTGTTCAAAACTGTTCCCATTCTGAAATATATATATATATTATATTTGTTTTTTTCCAAATACTTTAAAACAGCTTTAAAATAAAATCATATGAAAGGGAAGCCAGATATTTAGGAAGATTTGATTATTTAAAAAAGTTGATAGACCTCTAAGAAACAAAACCACCTCTCTTACCCTAGCTTTGGTATGGATTTTTTTTATTTAAATAATGATTTAAATCATTGTAACTGTTACAGAAATAAAGTTTGAGAAATTGTTATAATAAAAGGATGTTGTCTTAATTTTGTTGTAATGAATAAAGTCCTGCTTCAGAGGATTATCATTGAATTTTGCATGCTGCTCATTAGGAATATTAAGTGCAGTAAGGCAGTTTAAGCTTATTTAAAGGGGATGATCTTTCTATTGGTTATTCAGACTCTGGTATTGGGTAAGCCTGTCGTTCTACTATGTAAAGCGGAGAAATGCTTTAAAAAGGGTTTTTTTTTTTTTTGCATTTTCTGTTGCAGTTCTTTGTGTATTACCCACTTGCTTGCCTCTGTTTGAGAGTTTTCTTTCAATTCCCTACCCTTCTATCTCACAAACATTTTTCTGGTTGCTGTGCATCTCCTTTACGTCTTCCTTCTCCTTTTCCAATACAAAGCAGCATTATATGTCCTGCATCCAGTGTCTTTCACGCTCCATCCTCCATTTTTATCCTTTCTTTGTTTTTCATTTTCTGTCTACCATGCCCTTTATTATCTGTCTTCTAGATGTCTTTGCTCTGGGTTCTTCCTTCCCATGGTATTGTTAACTAGCTGCTGTGTCATTCTTTGCCTTTCTTGCTTCCCATTGCATTTTCAGGACACAAGCAGCAGTGAAAGAAGAGTGGAGAAGCCTTCCTACTGCTGTGGTTGTACCTTTGCTGTTGTATATGCACACAGTCCTCTTGATTTCTTTTTGTTGAGACCCAAGTTACCTACCCTAACATAGCTATAAGCCATCGCTAAATGTGGAACTAGAACAATGTTTATTTCGTTCATGTTTTCCTTTGCAAGACTGATTCCTTTTTAAAGAAAAACCTTTCCTCAATGCTGATGGCAACTCTTGAGCTGTTGTTCCTGACACCTGTTGAAAGTCCACTTCAGAAAGCCCTGAAAGGCTGCTTTAGTGTTTGAACATCTCTGAAGAACTTCACTGCCACTTAGTTCTCTCCAGAATGTCCTGTACTACACTGAACTAAAAATTGTCTTGATCTATTAATTTTGCTTTTTTGCTGCTTTCTGAGGATTATGCTTATTGCATGTGACAATCCCTTGTGCTGTACTTAACTAGGGCGAAAAGTATATGCATGCCCACATTATATCCCAGAAAATAGCACAAACTTTTCCATTTGTTCAAGCTAACCTTTCTTCATTACTGGCAGAAATGGCATAAAGGCAGATTGGCTATAGGTCCAGCATTAAGAGATGACTCTTAAATTAATTAATTTGGAGAGAGAGAGAGATGTAGAAAAATATTTCACTGTTCTTCAGTTATGTGTGAACAACTCAAATTTTTAGTTAGGAAGCACTTAGAAGCCTAGTCAGCTTCCACTAAAGTATTTTTCTTTTTTCCCTGAGAAATTACTTTGATTCTGTCCTTCTTAAGAAGATACTGCAAAGCAGCTCGTGGCAACAGGTGTAGTAATAAACATGCAGAGAAACTGGTAAATGCAGGCATCTAAGCTGCTGGGGAAAGTCCAGTCCCTGAAAAAAGGCCACCCCCTGCTTCGGTCACCCTTACTACTTGTAACATGACACTTGCTTCCAAGGAAGCCCAGACTCTGCTGAGATTTTTGAATGTTCTTTAGTGAGTTCTGGGAAAGAAAGCATTTTACCAGCTGTACTTGGCATGTTATACCAGCTCCTACATAAGTGAAATAATGAGACGGTTCCTCTGAGCCCTCAGTTCCTGCCTAATCGTGGGATCCTTTGTTTCAGGGGAGAGATGAGTGTGCTCAGGGTATTCTGTTAATAAAGTTGACAGGGTGGAAAAATTTTCTAACAGTACTTGCACAAGTGCAGCTGCAGCGTATACGTACAATTTATAGGTGTACTGTATGTACTAAGTATGTATACTAAAGCGAGTATGTATAAGCAGCACATCTTGAACCCATACCACTACAGGTAAGTAGTGCATCTTTCTTGGGATACTTTGTCATAAATGTTGAATATGAGCATGTTGAAAAGGATATGTGAATGATTGAAGACTTGTGAAGATGAATGATGTCTGCATAACTACTGCAAAGACTAACTTCAGGATGAAAATAATCTTCAGGATGTGAGGGTGTATAATGAATGTCAAATCCTGACATTGTTAATGCTGGTGATCACTTCCTAACAAGCTTTTGCATTATATAATTTATAGAAATATTTATGAACATCTTATTATTAATATATCTCTTCCTGTTTTTCTTTCAGTTGAAAGAGAAGAGTGAAGCATGTGGTGGTAACACAGATTCCATAGAAGAACTAAGAAAGGCTATTTATTTAGCTGAAGAGGCTTGTCCGGGCATTGCAGATAACATGGTGTCACACCTTGTGCAGAGGCTTCAGAGGTAGTGAAACTGTTTCACTAAGGGTTACAGAAAATTGTAGATCTGATTCTACAAATATTTGACTAGCATTAAATTATAAGAATTGATTTCTATGTATGATAGAGGAAAAAACGCTTGTGCATACAGTTTGTACAGTTGTGTTTGCTTAGGAGAAAAAAACCTATTCATATTAGCATTTCTAATTTCTGGCTTCAGGTGATAGCCCATACGTACATCCATCCTGTTTGTGTGCATGTTGTGTGTCAAGTGAGACTGGACAGCCTCTTCCCTCTGCAGTTTTCAAAATTTCATAAGTGATTTTCTAACTGCCTAGGTTAGGAATATATTCTTAACAAACACTCAATTTGCTGTTCTTTTAAATGCTGCATAAGAAAAGATCAGGGGTATACATTTCAGAATTACTGCTTGAAGAGGCTTTAAATGCAACCTTGAATCCAGAAGGCCACAGCTGTTGTGAATCTACGCCATCCAGGTTGGCTTGCTTAGTACTAGAAAAAAATAATGGCAATGATTAATCATGGACTGCTATCTTGAAAAAGATCACTCTGAGCAGGTGTCTCCCTTATACTGTCTCTAACCACAGCTTGGTAAAGTTTAAGAATTCACACATTTGAAGTTAAAGTAGAGGATTGCCAGGCTGACACTTTGTCTTGCAGTAAAAATCAATGCCAAGAAATCTGCAAGCAATTGTGTTTCTTGCTTTCTGGGCTGTTACGCATGGAGCCCAGTCAGCATCTCTATTGTTAAAAGGTCACTCCTTGATGCAAGATGTTCTGATTCTCCTTTTAGTTCATTGTGGCAGGCTTGAAAGAGTTCTAGACCTTCTGTCTCAGTTTGTTTCCATTAGGGGTTCCAAACCTGACCCCAGTCTTTCATCAGCCCAGTAGTTCTGTGTTAAGTTTCTGTCAACTCTGGTACAGGGCCTTCCTGGAACTGGGAACCTCAGAGACTTTTGATGCTGCAATTGAAGCTGAAAATGACCATGTGGAAGACAGGCTTTCCCCTGGGCACTTTTTTGTGGATGCTGCAGATGATCCTACTTGTTCCTGTCACGACAGCAGCAGTCATAATTTTTGTCCTAGGAGACAGATTTCAGAACCCTTTACATACCTGTTCAGTGTTTTGTTTTCCTTCTCGTCTGCTTTCTTGGACTATTGCTGTTTTTCTTGGTCATGGTGTCTTATAGCAGTGGAAGGAGGCATTTCATTTTCTTGGAGGAAAATATTCATAGAGAATGGTTGTTGATGGGTCACATCTGGGTGAACTTCTTTTTATACCAGGGATGATACTTAGCTAGGATATGATCATGACTAGCACGCCTTCCAGAAAGTGAGTGAAAGAAATGAATGGCAGGATCCCCCCTCTAAAAAGGAGTTTGAACCATTCAGTAGCTTATTAGGTACCTCTCATGGATAAAGGTATATTTGGAGCTAGTCAACTTCTGAAAATACGGTGTTTTGAATACTTGTTTGAATATTACAAGAAATGTGCTCTGTTATATCAAGTCATTCATTGTATCCACTTATAATATTCTCTCAATTTCATAGCTAACTACTGAAGATCACTCTTCAACAAGATGTTTTTAATGAGATTTTCATTCCCCTTGTGATTGGTTAAAATTGGATTTCCCAAATTTGTCTGAGTGAATTAGTTGGGACCCTCAGAATTGCTGCTCAGTAACTTGAGTGAATCCATTTACCTTCCCCATCCAGTTTTTTTCTCTGATGTTTTATCATGAAAGCTTAACATGATTAAAATGTATGCTTCTTTCTTTGGATGAGTTAAGACTCTGCTTAGACCAAGAAATAGATTTCCTGCCCCAGCAATATTTTGGAAAGATTATGATGTAAAACTGCCATCTAGGAAATCTGGAATCACTAAATGTTGCCCCCAGTGTACGGAATTCTTACATCATCGTATACTTCTCAGTAACATACTTGAACACAGGTTGTTGCTATTCATTAGATATACGTTCTGATGTTCTAAAAGGGTGTATTTTACATGTCGTTCACATCCGTGGCTTTTGTCTTTAAAGCATGACAGCTTTGGTGACATGGTGGATGTCATTCTGCAGGGAAAAAGGCTGGAACTTCAATAGCATAAAATGGAATAACTGTTAGCTGCTTGTTGCAGAACACCTTCCTGTAAGTCACAATAATAACTATTTATTTTTCTCTTCAGATATTCACTACCTGGGGGAAGTACTTCATCCTACTGACGTGCTGTTCCTGACTTTTCTAAGACAGCAGAGATCCCACAGTGTCTGCATTGAAGGCGCACACCGTAATGTTGTTCTGGTCTTCAGTCACCTGAATGACCTTGGGTGGAAGGACATTGCTAAATGTGCCAGAGTGAAAATGAAGTCTCTTGGATGGAGGCAGTCTTTTTCAGCTCCTTAAAGCTATAATTTTTTTTTAAGGATAATGCACATATTCCAGGGAGGTGTCTTTTTGTAATATCTGAAATGTATATTTAGGTTTGTGATAGAGAAATTGAAGATATTGAGAAACCTCAGGTATCTTGCTTTAAGAATTCCACTAGGAGATGGAGTATGTTTGTTGGAGTTGTGTACAGATATGTATATAATGTCTTTTTTTAACTGAAAGCTTTTCCACGTGCATAAGGAATCACTGTGTACAAAATGGTAAAGTGCTTCTGTAGATAGTGTTAGTGGGGTAAATATTTGACAGGCCATAACTGAGCATTGCCTTGCCTTGATTACATGTAAATTTTGAATTATGTGATAAGTGAATCTTGGTTTGATTTTTGTACGTGAAGGATTTGCCATTGAAAGAGTTAATCCTGTACTATGGAACCTTCTGTTTGTACCTCAGCAAAGACACAACTTGATTCTGTTTCTCCTGTATTTGCTCCTTTTTATCTATGTTCTGAGTGTGACTTTCTAATTATGGTACTACTTCTGGTTGTTTTAATACACCTTGTCTCTCAAAGCTTTAAATGTCAATTATTATTTTTCCTAAAGAATGAGCTCTTTCATATTTTCAGTTTTAAGTTGTGCCAATGCAAATTCTGAACCCTATGTACTGTTCAGTTTTAGTAACAGATATTTGTGAAGCTCGTAGTGAAATCCAGATACAATCTTTTTTTTTCACCTGAACATGTTTGAATGCTCACACAAATAAACCTTTTTTACCTTCATTTATTCTGAAAAATCTCAAGATGTTGGCTCTGAGACCATGACAGGTATTTCTTCATCATGCCTATTTTCATCATTAAAGTGAAGAGCGTAAAAGAAAAATTAGCCATAGATTCAATATTCAGTTGTGCTGCCTAAGTCTGTGCATCTCTTTACTGAAAGTGATAGATGTCAGGCAGAAGGACTGCAGAACTGAGCCCGAGTGTTGTATGCTATGTCCTTTTACTTGTCTCCCCGCAAAAAAGTAAAACTTCTTAAAAATTCTGAATTTTGAAATTTCCACTGTTCCCGTGAGTGCTCCTAGATAGCTGACTTAAGGTTTTATTTATAGTTCTTGGAAATAGTAACATCAGTTACACATGCAGTTGATTAGGCGGCACTTGTTTTCTACAGTATTACTCTGAGGTTTACCTTGGTTTGCTTCACCAAGGCTATTATCAGGTGCTTCTTATTCTGCTGGCTAAGAGAGCATTTTTGCCTTGTTTTTAATGAAGAAATTGATGATTTTGTTTTGCATGACAGTGAGGTAATTTATCTGTTTGGTGTTTTTTGTTGTTGTATTTTTTTTTTTTTTAGTATAGATACGAGTTTTGGAACAGAAAGGATGAAAATTTTAAAAGTATAGGCATATCTACCTGGCTTGCTACAAAAAGGCCCAGGTTCTCTAATCATTCTGAAAGCTGGTGAGGTCTGATTGCAGGATTTCATATCACCATGGTAGCCCTTATTCTATGCGTATTAATAAGCCTTAATTATTAATTTAATAATTTAACAGTAAGAGCACACTGTCCTGGTAACAGAGCTATGAAACTTCTAGCCCAGGTTGAAACAGTAGTGGAAAGAAATGGGTGTGAGCACTCATTGTAGCCAAGTTCTTAACGCACAACGCATCTTCTAGCATAATGAGGCAATGGTTTTCCTTTGTGGCTAAGTGAATTTAAGGTAAATTGAACAATGCATATGTTGAGCAGTGGTTTATAACTCCTCTTGGATTAATATATTTAAATATGTTGGTTTGTGTGCTCTTAAACATTAAGGCTAGGCTTACCCTTGAGGAAAACAAATTTAGCGCTACTGTTGTGCAATGTGCATTTGAATACGGTGCAATGGGAAATTCACCTGTTGACATCTCAATATTACAGCTTTCAGCCACTGAATAAATACCTGCTGTTACAGCACAGGGAAATAAACAGATGTGTTTGCATTTGAAATAGAAATACGTTAATGGAAGTTTTTCCCCAGTCATCTGTTAATGTAAGGATTTGAAATTAAAGGGAACTTACTTGGAGATGCACAGAACTCAGAGATTTAGTGAGGACATTAAATTTACAGTGCTGACTGGAACTTCAAGAATTTGTCAATCAGAAAATGAACTGATGTTCTAAGGTACACTATTTTTGAACAATCATTTTAAAAGGCATACATGCATTTTTTTTTTTTTTTGAGTTGCATTTTAGTTGCATTCCAGGACTGTATGTTGAAGAAGTACTTCTCTTGAGTAGATGGTGGCAGAATTTGCTTGGTGAATGTGTCCCTTGGTTTAGGAGCTTAAAATGAGTAAGACCTACACCAAGGGCAATTGGCAAAAAGGCTGGGACATTTAGAAAAAGGCCAGACCTCATTTATGGTAGAGATGTGTATTTTTATATGTAATATATAGATTATTTAAATATAGACTATATCTTAAACTGAAATTCACTGAAAAAAGCGTGCTGCATCTTGAATGTAAAATTACAATCCTTTGCTACTGAAAAGTATCGATGCTTTAAAAATCAGATCTGTATTGGTAACAGAAGTGGAGCTTCATTTGAAAGAAGCATGGCCTCAGTTGCTGAAAGAAGTGTATTGATATTTTTGAGATAGTTTCATGCTAAAAACATTTCTGTGTTATAATGTCGCACTGATGATTTTTCTGTGTAGGTAGTACTACTTCACTCAGTCTTGAATATACTGAGCGACAAACTATCCCTATTTATGCAAACATTTAAATTAGTGGATCTGCTTATTTGTCAGGGATTTTAAGATTGGACAGTAAGTAAACTCAATGTTTAAAAAAAAAAATCAGTCATTTGAACTGAAGGCTTGCTTTTTGTAAGTATCAGATGTGTAATCTATTTTTTTAACTTAATTTTCCTTGCAGCTGCACTTTGTAGTTGATCACCAGTTTACTAAAGGATGACGGCATGATGGCTATAGCACAGATGCTTTTGGTGTAATAACAAAGCAGCTCTTTCTCTGCAGTGCCATGGTTCCTTTGCAGTTCCAAACATTTTGTGTATGTCCACGTGGGCATGAACAGATGAACCAATTACTGTAGAATGATTTCGCTGTTGTGATCTGCCCTCTCGGTACAGGAAGGGGAAAGTAAGAATATGTGTGTTGGCCCAAACCAGCAAAGAACTCCTTCATCTGCCTGTGCTTTCACTGGCCTTGGGAAATGTCTCATTTAGCTCTCACTACTTTATGTGGCATTCTGAATTGTTTTTTAAACAACATGGCACCAGCTTGTAGTAGTTTTACATTAGCCTTACTTTTAAGGAAACATATTTTTGCCTTCAAAAATTTCACCAGTGGAAGATTATCGGAGGTGCTGATAAGCACAGGTTTAATGCAAGGATCAGTATAATCACAAATTTTTTTTTTAAGTTGCCGGGGAGGAGCTTAAAGTATAGCACAAATCTGCAAGCTTGCTCTTTTTAACTCTATTTTGCAGATGTGCTAGTAATTGCACTGAGCATATGCAGTAGACAAATTGTATGTGATGGTTTTCTGCCTTCCTTTAAAGCATGGTTACAGAGGACAATTAAAGTGTACATCTTGTTTTCTGTAATGTTGCTGCCTGTTTACAAGTCTGTACTTAAATTTTACTTTTGTCACTCTACACCGACATAATAAAAAACTCCTTGTAAACTACATGACCTAGAAATAAAGAAGGAAAAGTTTCATGAAATTTTGCCATCCGAGTGGTCAGTAAGATGGGATTTAGGGGTCTCCTCGTGGGGGGGGATGCTCTTGCAGGTTTCTAGCTCAGTTATTGCCCACATGTCAGTAATGGTAAGCAGGAAGTTTATAAATCAGTGTTCAGTTTGTTGTCGCAGAATTTGTGCAAGAGAAAACTCTCGTGTAAACACACACACCGCTTTCTGAGCAAGAACATTGAGAATATTTTTTTCTGTTGGGAAATTTGTAAGGTTATGTATCACAGATGGAGTAACCATGTGGGAAGTTCAGTTCTTTTCTTGATTAAGGTTTTTTTTTATCCACACATACACGTGATTGATCATGTACTGGTTTGGTTTAAATATGTGTAGCTTGCTATTACAGTTTGTCCTAAAGTAAGACAATGATGTGCCCATTTACAGATGGCAACGATTTAAAACCTGCTTTGTATTCCCCATCCTGCCAGCCCAGTGAAACTGATGAAGTTTCATCAAGTGGCATGAGCTTAACCCCAAACATCGCCTCCTTAATTACCATCTAACTGAGAGACAAACTGTGTGACAGCTGCACTCCTGGAATTCTATTTCATTACTGTCTTCTGTTAAAAAATGTGTGGGGGCCATGTTACCATTTTTTGGGGGTATTTTTTGTTTGTTTGTTTTTAAATCTACCAACTTTTATGTGCCCTTGGGGGCAGGGAGGGAATGTTTATGTGCTCTAGGAACTGGAGTTATGGATCTGCACATCCATAATTATGTTTTCTTTTGAGGGAGACCACCATGTAATTGGTCCTGTTTAAAAAAAAGGAAAAATGGTCAAAATCAGGCTTTTCAGGTCCTGTTTGTTTCTGTTTTGTTCTTGGCTGATGGAATGGTAGGATATTGCCCCTGGTTTTGTTTTGAAAACAAGTTTTCCTTGTGAGACCTCTTTTCTCTAGTGGGAGACCTTTATCAAGATTTCTGCAATCAATCACAGCATGTTTTTCCCTACCTGCTAACTTGTCTTTCAGGCTGTCATTTTTTTTTGGCTGGTGTCAGATGAATTTCCAAAGGCACTGAGGTCTCAACAGCATTTAAGTAAAATCTTGTGAAAATAGGTAGGCCTGAGGTATATTAATAAATACATTTTAATGAAAGTTAAGTTAGACAGCAGAGATGTGATGGAGATGGTTAGTCTTGTGGAAAAAAATAAATAAATTCACAGTAGCCCAGGCTTTGCTGATCCCATTGCATGTGGTGCAATGTCCTATGGCAGTACAGTTCCTGTGTTGCTTTTACATGTTAATTATTTGAAGCTGGCAACTAATTATTCCTGGTGAGTAACAACAAAACGAGTAAATCTTTTGGAGAGACCAGTTTGAGGGTTGGTTTTTTCCCACTACTGTAACATGAGAATTCAGTCATGGCTACTAACCTGGCACACAGTAACCCTGCATGTCTCCACTCCTCAGTTGGTTAGATGGACAACAGTGTGATGTGAATCATGGTTAAAAGTGCGTGCTTTCACATATTACAGCTTTCTAGTAAACCATGAGTTTTATTCGCACACACAGACTTCAGCTGATTGTAAGACAGAACTGTCAAGACAGTCACTTTTATTCTCTTACCATTATTTCAGTTTTGGGTTAACCTTAGGAATAAAGAACTAGAAAAATGCTGACAAAGGACAGCAGGTCAAATGGTTCCATTAAAAAAATATTTAAAAATCACATTGGTAAAGAAGGGAAAAAAAAACCCAAACAACCGTCTTATTATAAACCTCTTTTCTGTAAGGGGGGGAAAAAAAAAGATAATACAAGAAGGTGAAAATGCTGAATGATGAATGGACTGGATACTCTGAAGTTGCATCCACAGCCTAGCTTGGGCTCTGCTGTCATGAAAACTAGAACTGTATCTTCATCTTTGCTGTAGATGTTATAGAAAAATTATTTTCCAAACTTACTTGTTATGAAACTGAAACATACCTAGAGAAGGTGTTATCTGATTTCAAGAATGTGAATAAAAGGCTTTGTTTTGAGACCTCAAGATAAACTACTCCAGGAGATGGCAGTAACAAA